GGTGCAGCCAATGGTTCTTCACTTCCCAGTCATGGCAACAAGAAGATGTACAGAGATTGAAGCCATGCTCCTGAGCCCTGAAGGTGCGTAGATTACAAGAAAACACAGCCAAGAAGACGAACGAGGCCGAAGGCCGTAAACCGCCCCACAGAAAAACGCGGGCCCTGCAAGCCCCCAACCATCGCGCCCTGGAGCTCCCGCACACGCACCCTATGTTCATCCACAGACTTATTAGGATTAGATCCGGAACCAAGTCTCAATCCCAGCATTGCTTGGTTTTCACGGAGGAAACCTGAGGTCTCCGCTTATATGTCCCCAGCCTAAACGACATATTTCTCCCCAGATGGACGCAGAATCATCAAAACCGAATACTTTCAAAATCCCCCGCCTCCTCCTCTGACAGCGTGGAAAGATCCCCTGGCACGCCTATCTCCTTTGAGAAGGCTTGGATTTCTGGCTCAGGGTTGTCAGTGTTTAGACTTCAAGGCTTAAGGTGTCTGGTTGAGAGCTTAGAGTTTGGAAGGCCCAATATTTTTTTGCACCATGAAATCAATCTGCTCTGCCAATGAGATGCCAGCCCTTGTGGAAGATATATAAGATTGAGCATTGGTCCAATTCGCGCCAAGCAGAGAAAATTGAGAACACATCACATTAGAAACTCTTTCACTTGCTGCCAAACCCAGCATCCCTTACTTTCTGGCAAGTATCTGGCAAGTGTAAAGAACCCATAAACGAATGAGAGTTTGCCTCGTGCTTATGCAAGGGGATGATTTAGAACTAGTCCCGAATACGGCTTGGGGTATATTACAATAAGATACCCATATACCCCATATACTTAAGGGGGACTATATAGACCCTCAACCTCTCCTGCATGAGGACCTCCAGGCTCTGTCGGATCGTGGCCGCTTTTTGGGCCTGTCCCTGTGCAGGCAGCGCGCGCAAGCGGAACGGGGCTGCCCAACCTGAAGCCACAGTGAAATGATATACTCTAATATACCATTATATACCTTATTATGCCCTGCAACATATACATTATTTCACCATTCGTTATACCACATTACTAGCTTCGAGAATTTTAAAATAGACACACTGCTTGTTGAATCTTGTGGTAAGTAATATCAGTCTGATGTGGCATTAAGAGCTAGCACTGCAAACCTGAGAGCATGTCACAAGAATGCCCAGCAGCGGATGGAGACCTCGCCGGCTGGACGATCAGCCACCGTAGTCAGATTTGCATTTCCGGTCTCGGTGCGGAGGTTTTGTAGAACCCATGGGCCACTGATTGTGCCAGAGGCTAAGTGAATGAACAGCTGCTTGCGCTCCAGATCAACGCGCACGCCCAAGGAATCCACGCCATCACCTGGAGGGTGCGTCGTCTCTCCCAGCTTCAGCTGCAACTCATCTTCATTCAGAATGCTTGCTACAGGGGTCAGACGCTCGGTCGGCTCTCTACCTGCGGCTTGCTCCGCCAGGCGGCGCAGGCATGAAACGTAGCTAATATCCTCTCCATCATGCTCGCTCCTCATGACCGCGAACGTGAGTTGTGTGGGATCGTTGGACTTGGCACTAGGTCCCACCTGAATGAACTGCAGCCCCTTCAGCTTGCGTGCTGCGCGCGGGTGATACTCGAAAACGCTTCTCATCAGATGCTCTTCCTCCTGGGACAGCCGACGAGGCCCGTCGCCACGCCCAGTTTCCCGAATCGATACGATGTGATTCTGTAGTTCGTTGATAGAACTGAAGCTCTTGCCTGCCAGCGTTGTGGGCACGTTGAAGTCTGCATGGTCGTTATACGATATTCGTGTCGATGCATCTCGAGCCAAGCGCAGGCGGCACCTGTCTGGCAGCTTACAGAGAATAATCCCAGCAAGTATCCCCAACAGCAGAGAGGACATCATGTTCATTATCACGGGTTCCAGAGACTGATGCGCTTTTTTGTTCAAGCGCGTGCGCCGTCTCCAAGAAGCAGCATGGCTGTTTGCCCGGCTAACCTTTC